CTGTGGCTAAAGTGGTAGTGTGCTAACCTTGAGCTGAAGAGCTGAGGGACAGTGCCCAGGCCCAGAGTTCAGGCCCCATAACAGGCAAAAAAAAAAAAAAGGAAGTTGTGTAGCTGGCCACAGGCTGCATTCTCTTATGTTCAGATAACGATGAAATAAAACCACCACTGGGGAAAAAGGCAGAGCAAAACTTGCTTGTCTTGATCCTACTGTCTGGGGGTGGGAGAAGGGGTGCAGAGACAAATTCCCTTGAGAATTTGTACTACAAACTGGTATTTAGTTGACATCAAAATTCACAGTAATAGTACTCAAAGCAAAACAAACAAACAAAAAAAACCGTCTTCCCAAAGAGAACTAATTATTTAAACTGTCATCAAGCTGCACCCACAATGATTCATAATACTTGGCTCTCTGCAAAGGGCATCCTGAGATGTTAAAATATGCATTAAGTATTATCTCATTGTGCAAATGAGAAGACAAGAGACATAGGGAGCAAAATACCTTGCTCAAGGTCCCATCCCCAAGTTATAAGACCAGGCTCCATATCCAGATGCAAATCAACATGGAAGAACAGAGAAGGAATACCTTCCTTTTTACTTACTAGGTTAAGATCAAAGGTACAAAAAGACCTTTTAATGGTGATGGAATAAATAAAGCCAAGAAAAAAAACTGATTAATATATATGCTAGGTGTGAAATATAACTGCAAAATAACTAAGTCAATTTTATGTGACTTATAAAAATCAACACTATTCCATGAGAATTAACCTTGTATGTCAGACTCCATATTCTATATGTAGGTCAAAAAAATCCTACTTAGCACCAGATTCTGATGCTTTACACCTGTAATCCTTGCTACTCAGGAGGCTGAAATAAAAGGATCACAGTTTCTAGCCAGCTTAGGCAGAAAAATCTGTGAGGTGCATATCTCCAATTAACCAGCAAAAAGCCAGAAGTGAAGTTGTGGTTCAAGTAGCTAAAAACCAGTCTTGAGCCAAGTGAGAATGTGAGTTCATACTCCAGTACCAGAACAACAATAAAAATCTTACCCTTGCTAAACCAAACCTACAAAGCACTATAAAGCAATAAAGAGACCTCTGTGGTGACATAAATCAAGTCTTTCATCCAAATTTTAACCATCATTTATAACAGCTCCTTGAGTTCACAGGACTTACCTATTCATATAGAGTGCTTGGATGTTTATATGTGAAATATGTAACAGTAAATCTCTCTAAAGTACAATGAAGAAGAGCATACACAAGATTTATGAACTAAAAATCCGAGCATGAATCTTTTGTATTCTTCCACCCATGAGACAGTAATAAGCTAAGCAGTAACTGCTGGTTATATTTAATGATAATAAAGTAAACAAGAGTTTCTGAGCCACAGAAGCAGTGGGTGTATCCGTAGCAGCAGTTACGTGGCTCTCTGCAATTGGTACTTTCGTCCTTCCAAAGGTAATGCATAAAAGCTTCCTCTACCACAGGCTAAGAAAGGCTCAACAGCAGCAAAATAAGAAGAAAGCACTTTCCTACCTAGATCAGTTGAACAGAAGTTTCTGTTTAAAATTACTAGACTGAAACAAAACACCAGAAGTAAATGAGTTTTAAATGATATGAATTGAAGCACATCTTTTGAATAAAGTAGTTGAAATCAGTAGAGTTTAATATCCACAGTTCTGCCAGCAATAAAAGACACTGTATTTTTCTTCCAAGTTTAGTTCTTACAATGAAAAGCATTAAATACATAGGAATGTACAGTGAATGACCACCCATACCCATCACTGGACTTGATAAATGCTAACATTTTGCAATATTCACTATGCCCATTTTTTTACAGCAAGAGCTACTTGCAGATATTCCTAGATATTTTATAATTATACCTTCCACTCCCATGAGTTAACCTCAAATGCTTTATGACATCTAATAATTCTCATTTTTCTCTGACATAAGTTTTAACTGCTCCTCTTATAAAGTCAGGGGATCAAGCCCCTGAGTGAATCAAGCAATGGCCCTATTTCTCTAGCACTGCACAATTCAGTTTTCTTTACTCATGCTTATATATGCAGAAAGACCCAAGAAGTGACAGCTCTGTTATTACATAAACTAATTGTAAAAGGGCTCCCTACAGAACTCTAGTTGCTGGTGCTACAGATAGAAATGAGCAGGAATGGAGTCTGACAAAGTCATAATTCCTTGCAAACAACACACAAATAATCCAGGTTTTAAATAAAGCCCACCATCTGCACAGAATCTGCCTCTGACCAGTCTTCTGATGCCCTCTCATAGTGTTCCCTGATAGATGATAGATTCCCATGTGAGAGTAGGAACTGCATCTGCCCAGAGCGCTCAACCCACATTCTTCCCTCTTCCCATATCAAACTTCTTGGCAATCAATGCCCTCTAAGATAGAGGGACCAACTCCTGGAACTCCTTCCCCTGCAGACCTAAGTGACCGAGGTCATAGCCACTTCTCCTCTCCCTGCCTCTAGTATGAGCCAGCGTTACCCAAGGAGGTTGGACAACCAAACCATGTGGCCAGCACTGCCACCTGAGTGAAAAATGTGACCATCTCTTCAAAAATCACAAGAGATCAGCTGTGGCTCATACCTGTCATCCTCGCTACTCAGGAGGCTGAGATCTGAGGATTGAGATTCGAAGCCAGCCTGGGCAGGAAAGTCTGTGAGACTCTTACCTACAATTAACCACCAGAAAACCGAAGTGGCACTGTGACTCAAGTGGTAGAGCACTCGCCTTGAGCCGAAGAATTGAGGGACAGCACTCAGGCCTAGAGTTCAAGCCCCATGACCAACAAAAACAAAACAAAACAAAAAAACACAAAGAGATGCTGGGCCAGAATAGATGTCCAGCACCAGGAGGTATGGGCTTGTGATCCTCACCTCTAAGGAGGCGGAGATCTGAGGATCTCTGTCTGAAATCAGGCCAGGCAGATAAATCCATGAGACTCCTTATTTTCAATTAACCATCAAAAAGCTGCAAGTAGAGGTTTGGCTCAAGCGGCCAGGTGCAGCCTTGAGTGAAAAAGCCAAGTAAGAGCACTAGGCCCTAGTTCAAGCCCTAGTACTTCCTCACATATACCACCTTCCCTTCTTGCCAAACACACATACAATACAAAGACAGCAACTTCCAACTAGCCTGCTCTGACTCCTATCTGGGTTCCCTCCCCTGGGTTAAGCCAGTCCTTGTATGGAAGGGCCCATGTAAGTGAGCGGAGAGGTGGACCCTGCCAGCCAGCTTTCCCTTACGAAGATACCACAGTAGCCCCAGTTCACATCATGTTGTAACTACATGTGAAACTTCAGAGCAGAAGCACTAAGCCATTCAGCACTTGGACTTGACCCACAAAAGCTGTGACATAATAAATGCTCATCATTTTAAGTCACTCAGTCCCAGGGTAATTTGCTATACAGTAATGGATAATATGTTCATCTTATTTAATTCACAAATAAAAGTCATGCTTACAGTAATGCCAAATATTTAAACGGGGTTAACATATTAAATGAACTTCTTAATTCATTATAAATACATGAAAGGAAAACATATTATTTAAATAAATGTTGACAGTGAGTGCTTTTCACTTGTATATGTATACATATTTCTATATTTTTAACTGCATTAGTTATATAATTTACTATAATTATTTGTAATTTCAAAATTAAGTACACAAGTTAATTTTTAAAACTTTTCTTTTAAAAATCTACTTATAAGCCGAGCACTGGTGGCTCATGACTGTAATCCTAGCTATTCAGGAAGCTCAGATCTGAGGATCATGGTTCAAAGCCAGCCCAGACAGGAAAGTCTGTGAGACTCTGACCCTCTATTAACCACTAAAAAGCCTGAACTGGCACTGTGGCTCAAGTGGTAGAGCACTAGTATTGAGCTGAGGGTCAGTGCCCAGGCCCAGAGTTCAAGCCCCACGACTGACAAAAAAAAAAAACTACTTACAAAGGAACATAAATAAATTAAATTTAAATTAAAGCACACTTACCAGATCATAGTTATAGAGAGGTTGGCAGACTTTTTCCAAAGTGTACAAATATCTAACATTATCTTTTGATTCATTTGCTGTATCTGTGATTCTGGCATCCAGATCACGCCAGTTCTAAGGAGAAATGGCAGAATTCCATTGCAAATCCACTAAGTCAGTGTGTTACAGTTTACCGAGTTTACCCAGTTTACTGTCTTCCTGAATCAAATATATATTGAAATTGTAGACAGCTAAGAGTTATTAACATATCTTTTTATAGTTTTTAAATGCTATTATAAACATCTTCAATGATTTACTAAAACTCAAGGGTCACTCCTTTTGCAATTAATATCCTATCTGTAGCCTTGAAATAGACTGGCTTTTACCTAAAGTGACTTTTCCAAGGCCAAGTATTGGTGGCTGTGATCTAAAGATCCTGGGTTCCGAGCCAGCTTCAGCAGACACATCTGAAAGAGTCTTATCTGCAATTAGCCAGCAAAACACCAGTAAGTAGAGGTTTGACTCACGTGGTAGAGCACTGACCTTGATAGAAAAAGCTAAAAAAGAGCACAGGGGCCCTGAGTTCAAGCACAAAAAATTAAAATTCAAGTAAAATAAAGTGATTGTTCCGGATTAGTTCTTTGATACTGTATGGCTCTAGGTCTTCAAGAATGGGCCAAGATATCAATGCAGAACTTCACTGTAAAAATAAACCTTTAATTTGAAGCGACTCCAATCTGAAATCAAAATTTCCTTGCAAGTGATCATCAAATATTCTCTGCTCAACTAAATGCAATTATGAGAAAGTTCTTCTTTATTCTGAGAAGAAATCTACTATGGTTTGAATGTGATTTTGTCACCATGCTGAGCCTGCATTCCTCAGGACCACAATGTGGAGGTGCTGGGGTCTGTGGGATATGATTTTCAGCTCTCGTGGGATGACATTTGTGCCCACAGAGGGGAATGTTTAAAGTGTGTCTAGCACACATGCGCTGCTCCCACTCTTCCCCAGGCTCCCACCATGATGTCATTGTCAAACGGGCCACACAAGGCTGAATAAAGAGTCACCTGATCTTAGACTTATAGCCTCCAAACTGGGAGCTACAAAAACCTCTTTGCCTCCTAAGTCACCTAAAAGCTGTTAATCTGTTAGACCAATGCAAAATGGACTAGAAAAAAGATTTTTGTCCTTTTATTGTCTCCACTCACTAGTACAGCTCTGCCTAATGCAACATCAGAGAATATACAGCACTTCTTCAAACATTTGAAGACGTTTACCTTATTATCCACCAAGTCTTAGACAAAAACAAATTTGAGTCTGGCCTGATAGCTTGCTTCCTCTCTTACTAGCACTGTGACCTTGAACAAGAAACTTAGTCTTTGGGGGTTCCATGAACTAAATAGCACCATCAGACAGAATTGGTACAGGGATCAAATAAGATGTTACAGGTAAGGTATTTAGCCTGGTGGTTCGCACATGGTCACACATGGTAGCTGTTAGCTACTATTATCATTATTGCTACTAAATCTTAGATGAAAAACAAAAGTTAATCACAACTCACTGGTAAACTACTGATTTCAACAATCTATGCTGTGTTTCAAAATGCCTAGAAGAGTCCCTGTAGAATATGCCAAGCTTTAAAATTAACTAAGGCCTTTTACCTTCAACAGTTTGGAATGCGCAACGTTGAGGACATTAATAACAGCCTTACAGCTTGGTCCTTTGATCTGCTCGATGATGAAGTTGAACTTGGCTGACATCCGCTTCCAATGTTCTAGCTCAGTGAGGGGACCGGAATCATCAGCTTCTTTTCTCATCTGCTCGCTCTCAATAAGCACCTGCAATTAAAAACAACAGGGCTGGGAAGGTGGCTCAGTGGTAGAATGCTTGCTTTGCATGCATGAGGCCCTGGGTTCGAGTCCTCAGCACCAAATAAGCAGAAAAAGCTGGAAGTGGCGCTGTGGGCCAACTGGTAGAGCGTTAGCCTTGAGCTGCCCAGGCCTAGAGTTCAGGTCCCATGACAGACAAAACAAAAACAAAAACAACAACAACAACAACATAGATCTCAGTAAGTACCTGCAAAAAAAAAAATCATTGATTATGGAAATGGCACATTTTTTTTTTCTTTCTTTTTTTTTGCCAGTCGTGGGGCTTGAACTCTGGGCTTGGGCACTGTCCTTTCACTCTTCAGCTCAAGGCAAGCATTCTACCACTTGAGCCACAACACTACTTCCGGTTTTCTAGTGGTTTATTGGAGATAAGAGTCTCACAGATGCCAGGCGCTGGTGGCTCATGCCTGTTATCCTAGCTACTCAGGAGGCTGAGATCTGAGGATCACAGTTCAAAGCTAGCCCGGGCAGGAAAGTCCATGAGACTCTTATCTCCAATAAACCACCAGAAAACAGGAAGTGGCACTGTGGCTCAATCGGTAGAGCACTCGCCTTGAGCTGAAGAGTGCAGGGACAGAGCCCAAGTCCAGAGTTCAAGCCCCATGACCGACCAAAAAAAAGAGTCTCACGGACTTTCCTGCCCAGGCTAGCCTCAGCTCTCAGCCTCCTGAGTAGCTAGGATTACAGGCGTGAACCACCAGCACCTGGCTTGACATATTCTTATTTGTTAAAAATCTCACAGCATATTCTCAAAGGAGACTACAAAGTGGAATAATATTCCACACTGAATAATGTTTTAAAATTTACTGACTAAAAAGGAGCAATGGAGATTTTTCAAATGACAGGTATCTCCTTAAAACTCCCAACAACTATTATACTTACGGGTAAAATGTTAGAAAATACCACTGGAGCCACACCAGTCACACTCAAGCAGAAATCATTGCTTTTGTGGATGAGAAGACAGCTTAGTGGTAGAGTGCTTGGCTAGCATGCATGAAGCCTGGTTCCATTCCTCAGTACCACAGAAAAAGCAGGAGGAGGTGTTGTGGCTCACGTGGTAGAATGCTAGTCTTAAGCAAAAAGAAGCTTAAGGACAGGGTCAGACCCTGAGTTCAAGCCTCAGGACTGGCCCCAAAAAAAGGGAAAAAAAGAAATCATTGCTTTTTTGTTGTTATTCTTTGCTGGTTCTGGGTCTTGAATCGAAGGCTGCTTGAACTCAGGGCTTCATGCTTTTGCTTGGCTTCTTTGCTCAGGGCTGGCACTCTACCACTTAAGCCACAGCTCCCCTTCTAGCTTTTGGTGGCTAATTGCAGCTAAGTTTCACAGACCTTTCAGCCTTGGGTAGATTTCCAACCACAATTCTCAGATCTCAGCCTCCTATACAGTAGCAAGGATTACAGGCATAAGCCACTGGCATCTGGCTTTTTATAATTGATCTTAAGTGATGCAGAAAGAACAACAATCTTGGGCTGGGAAGGTGGCTCAGTGGTAGAATGCTTACCTTGCATGCATGAGGCCCTGGGTTTGATTCCTCAGCACCACATAAGCATAAAAAAAAAAAGCCGGGAGTGGCGCTGTGGCTCAAGTGGTAGAGCACTAGCCTTGAGCTGAAGAGCTGAGGGACAGTGCCCAGGCCAAGAGTTCAGGCCCCACGACCGGACCCCACCCCCAAAAAAAGAACAACAATCTTGCTCGAGAGTCAAGATCAGACTGAGTTTTAAAACAGTTTCTAGCAGAGAATCAAAGATTCTCCTTCCCTTGATTTTTAGGGTCAAACTAAGATGGCTGAATGCACATGAGAACTAGGATTCAAGGTGAAGAGATCTGAGTGGTCGCACCTGTTCAATCTGCTTGTACCACACCATCAATACCTCCTCCAGCTGGTGAACAGTTTCTGAATTGCTTGCTGCACTTGTCACTTCTTTAAAGGTGAGCAGTCTAGAAAAATCAATATTGTCTATCTTCTTTAACATCACAGTTCCCTCGATACTTATTCTAGCACCTTAAAGGGGAAAAATAATATGAAAAAGAGAATTTTTTCATGTCAGTGTGTTGTCAATACATGCTTCTAAGTCACAATCACTGAAACATCCAAGACCTAACACTGTACAGAAATAAGATTCTACATTGGTCATTAGAGTGTGACTCTATTTACTAATAAAATTGTGTTTTGTTTTGTTTTTTTTTGGGTCCGGTCGTGGGGCCTGAACTCTGGGCCTGGGCGCTGTCCCTCAGCTCTTCAGCTCAAGGCTAGCGCTCTACCATTTGAGCCACAGTACCACTTCCAGCTTTTTTCTTATGTGGTGCTGAGGAATCAAACCCAGGGCCTCAGGCATGCAAGGCAAGCGCTCTACCACTGAGCCACCTTCCCAGCCCTAAAGTTGTGTGTTTTTTATAATATTGGCTGATTAGACATTTTAAAGGTTTTATATTTTTAAATATGGCTACACAAATTTTTAATTAAGGATATAGGAAGAAGACTGACAGAGTGGCTCAGTGATAGAATGCCTGCCTAGCAAGCATTAGGCCCTGAGTTCAAACTCCAGTGTACCAACATACACACACACACACACACACACACACACACACATAAATGAAGAGATCCATCCTTTCATAATGCAAAAGAAAACATACCTTGTCCCTGCAAAGATCCCTAGAGACCAGGGGCCCTCATGCTTTCATATCTTATCTCTATGTCTCATAATTATTTAAACATCATCTAAGATGGAAATTTTCTATTTTTTTTCCTCAGCCAGTACTTGAGTTTGAACCAGAGCCTCATGCTTACTAGACAGGCATTCTATTTGAACTACAATCCCCAGCCCTCTCTCTTTTGAGGTGGGGCCTCATATATCTATGTGAGGCCAATCTCAAACCACCCTCCTCTACATATATGCCCCTTCCCGCTCTTTCTCGCCTCTCTCTCTTTCTTACCTCTCTCTGTCCTCACTCTTTCCTTTCCCCCTCCCTCTCCCTTCCTCCCTCATGTCTTTACCAGTGCTAGAAATCTAGGCCTCACACTCTTATACTGCTTTTTGGCTTACAGCAGGTGCTCTAGTACTTGAACCACGCGTCTGCTTCTAGCTTTTTACTAGTTAATTGGTAATAAGAGTCTCAGATTTGTCTGTCCAGGCTAGCTTTGAACCACAATCCTCAGCTCTCAATTTCCTGAGTAACTAGTATTGTAACATAAACTACTGGTTCCCTGTCTACCTATGCTTCTAGAATAGCTGGGGTCAGAGACATCTGCCGTCACATTCAGCCTAATTGGATGAGAAGCAGGCTTGATCATTTTTTTGGTGGGGGGAGGAGGCACCTGGGCTAGCCTTGAAGTAATATTCTCCTGATCTCCACCTCCCCCAAGTAGTTGAGATTACAGTCATGAACCACTATACCCAGCTTTCTAATGACTACATCATTTCATTAATATGCTCATTTTTAGTGTTTTTTTAAACCCTAAACGTTATACTTACCATCTAAAAATGAAAGGTATCTGTTAATTGTCTCAATGAAAATATGTTTTTCAGACTCTCCCTGCTTGGACTGGTTTAAAGCACCCCAGTTGCTTGTGGCAAGAATAGCTGGGAGAAATAGCTTTGACAGCATCTTCCTGATTCCTTCTAAGAGTCCTTTCGATGCATCCAAAACAGTAAACATCACATCCTGAAAGGGTGGCATTCATTGTTTTATAAACTGATTCCATGAAAGGATGAAAAATAAGCTATTTTTCATTGCAAGAAATGGACAATGCATATGTTTTGTAAAGTATCAGGTAAACTTAAGTAATTATGCAAGTTAGAGCTCTGAAACCAACAAACTTTATATTCTTCTCCATTTTGACCATGTACCTGTCAGCTCACGACAGGGATGTTTCTTCCACTGCTTTAAATTCTGCTGTTGTAAGAGAGATGTAACCCAGCCCCCCACATATAGAAGTCTTAAGTATATCGCTGTCCCAACCATAAAACATACCAGTGAGCAAAAGAGCAAAGAAATTAACCCTGGAGCCAAAATTGTGGATAAAGAATGATGAGGCAGAAGGACCCAAAAGCCTAGAAACCAAAATTCCACCATCCATACATAGTGTGGCCTTTCAAGTAATACAACTTAAGTAGGGTAGAACTACCAAACCAACTAATTAAGAGGAAAAGTTAATCATGGACTACTTGTTGCTTGCTGTTCAGCTGTGAATGTTTGGATGCTATGGTTTGAATATGGGTTACATCCCACAAAGGTCCATATATGAAGAGCTGGGTCCATCAGGATGGTTCTACTGAGAAGTGGTGAAACTGGGCAAAGTGAGACCTAGTGGGAAGTTCTTCAGTTACAGTCATGACATTGAAAGGGATTTTGGGACACCCCCCCACCTCTGTCTGTATCTATCTGCCTCTCTCTCTCTTTCTATTTGTCTCTGTCTCTCCCTCTCTCTCTCTCTCTCTCTCTCTACTTCTTGGTCAACATGTCAAGATATGATTGCTCAGCTTTTGCATAACAAGCCTCCTCTTTTAACTATGTGCACACCTAACCATAACAACAACAACAAAAAACCCTAGAACATAAGCCCAGTGTGGTGACTCATGCCTGTACTCCAACCATTACTAAGGTAGTATGATCACTTGAACCCGGGAGTTTAGGGTCAACTTGGCCAAACATAGCAACATCCTTTTTAAAAATATAAACATTTCCTAGCATGTGTGAGGTCCTAGGTTCAATCCCCAGTAGTAGTGAAGGGGATGGGTAGAATAAACACCTAAACTATGAAAAACTAGCTTAAATAATGGACTAAACTGAAATGACTAGGATTGAAGCTAGAGTAAACAAATTATATACACATATAGACATCAAAAGACAAAGAAGAAAGAAAACAGGAGACAAATTTCTTATGAATAGGACACCAAGGTGGGAGGGGTGTCTCATCAGCCAGAAGAGATAGATTAGATAGGATATATTAGATTGACAGATGATAGATAAGTTAGATAGATGATAGATATATAGATAGATGCTAGATAATAGTACTGGATAGACAGTAGATGGGATAGATGATAGATTAGATAAGATGACTATGGGGGGAAAGAGAGAGAGAAGGCAATCAACTAGCTATAAGGAGTCCTATTGCCAACCTGAACAATCTTTCAGCAATCTTTTCTGTTATAAGCAGAAAAAGGACAATTAGATTGGGTTTCTGTTACCTTTCCTGATATAAGAAGTATTAAGAAGCCAGGCACCGGTGGCTCATACCTGTAATCCTAGCTACTCAGGAGACTGAGATCTGAGGATCATGGTTCAAAGCCAGCCCAGGCAGGAAAGTTCATGAGACTCTGATCTCCAATAAACCACTAGAAAACCGGAAGTGGCGCTGTGGCTCAAGCGGTAGAGCACTCGCCTTGAGCTGAAGCGTGCAGGGACAGCGCCCAAGCCCAGAGTTCAAGCCCCATGACCGACCAAAAAAAAAAAGAGATATTAAGAATAATAAAGAGTATTATTATTTGCTGAGTGCCTACAATATGTCAGGCAATATAATAGGAACTGCTTACATTAATTGTATTAATTATACTTGTTTACAATATATTAATTGCTTATATTATCATTTAAAGGTACCATCATAATTCTGAAAGTAGGGTGCTATTCTTTGCAATTTAAGGGTGTCCAAAATCTAAGACAGGGTGAGCACTTTGCTGGAGGGCATGCTGCTGCTAGTCAATGGAGAACCAGGAAGCAAATCTGGGTTTGTCAGGCTAAATTACTTGCTTGTTTTTTTCCATTCAGCCATTCTACCTTCCCAGGACTCCATTTAGCAATATCTCAATTTCTTTCTTCTAAAATTACTAATGAGTTAATGAGTGAAGCAAAGGTTAAGTAATATAACTAATACTTAAGACTTTATGTAAATTTTGCAGATCTCAGTGGCTACAACTGTAATCCTCGCTACTCAGGACTGAGATCTGGAGATCGTGGTTCAAAGCCAGCTGGGCAATGAAGTCCATGACATTCTAATCTTCAATTAACCACCCCAAAGCCAAAAAGTGGAGCTGTGGCTCAAGTGGTAGAACACTGGCCTTGAGGAAAAAAACAAAACAAAACTCAAGGACAGCATCCAGATTCAAGCAAGCCTCAGAACTGGCACAAAAAAAGAAAGAAAGGACGGAAGCAAGCAAGCAAGGAAAGAAGGAAAGAAGGAAGGAAGGAAAGAAGGAAGGGAGGGAGGGAGGGAGGGAGGGAAAAGAAAGAAAGAAAGAAAAGAAAGAGAGGGAGGGAGAGAAGGAAGAAGGGAGGGAGGGAGGGAGGGAGGGAGGGAGGGAGGGAGAAACGAAGGAAGGAACCAAGGAAAGAAGGAAGGAACCAAGGAAGGAAGGAAGGTAAAAAAGAGAAAGAAATGAAAAATTCCATATACAGAATTGAATGTATTCCTAGTGAATAGGAAAGAAATGGAAATTATTTGTATACCATCTAGAAAAAAATGGAATTTTCATGAATTTTAAGAAGCAGTATCTAAAGGATAAATATAACTAAGCTACATTATAGCCAATCTTTTAGTTTCTTTGAATATATGAATACATTATTTTCTTGGAACTCAATTCAGTCCTATATATAGAAAAAGAGAGCAGAGGAAAGCACAAATGTGACTATGAAAACACATCAATGTTTGTATCTTTGGGAGGAAAATTAAACATACCTCATGAACACTTTTAGCATTCAAGGCAATGTCATTACGAAGGCGAACGAAAAAGAGACACATCCCTTTCAGTTTGTCGGGAGCTGTGCTGTCTATAAACAATCTCATCATTTTCGCCCCTTTGCCTGCTCCAGGAAGAGTTCGACCACATTCTGAAAACAAAAACCAGCAACTGAGCCCAGGATTCCATGGCTGATCCAATGTGATAAATTATTGTGGTTCTCATTTTACTCCTGTTGTAAGAAATTTTCAAATATTATCACGAAATAACCTTTTGTCTATCAAAAGAAACCCATGATTGCAATTCTGAAATTGTAGCTTCTGATACTTTTTTAATCCTGCTGCGTAACTGTTGAGTTTTTTGATCCACTCCTCCCCCAAAGTTGCTTTTGCTTACACAGCCGGTCTGTTTCTGTTGCTTACAACCAAAGAATCCTGATTCTTGGGGCTGGGAAGGTGGCTCAGTGGTAGAGCGCTTGCCTTGCAAGCATGAGGCCCTGGGTTTGATTCCTCAGCACCACTTAAGCAAAAAAGAAAAAAGCTGGAAGTGGTAGAGCGCTAGCCTTGAGCTGAAGAGCTGAGGGACAGCGCCCAGGCCCAGAGTTCAGGCCCCATGGCCAACAACAAACAAACAAACAAACCAAAGAATCCTGATTCATGGAGATAGCACCTATACTTACATCCTCCCCAATTTTCCTTGCTAAAACACCCAATTTTTGTCCCATTGGCAATGGGATCATCCCTAAGGAGGAAACAGCTTTTCCCACCTCTTTACCCTGTTGGAGCAGCCACATGACATAGTTCCTCCTGATAAAGGAGGAAGACATGACCACCAACGGCACAATGGATACTATATAGAATTTTGTGTGTGTGTGACTCAGGCTCTTGGTTCTGTCCCTGAGCTTTTTTTGCTCAAGACTAGTGCTCTACCACTTGAACCACAGTTCCACTTGCAGTTTTTGGTGGTTAATTGGAGACAAAAGAGTCTCACAGACCTTCCTGACCCAGCTGTCTTTGAACTACAATCCCGATTTCAACCTCCTGGGTAGCCAGGATTATAGGCATGAGCAACAGTGTCCAGCTAAGTAGAATTTTTTTTTCCAAGTAGAATTTTTTAAATGAAGGAAATATGTAATGCCATAGGAAAAATGTCTAGGGTATACAAATAGAGAAAAAAAGCAAGACAAGAATAAAATGTGTGGTCTGGGAATGTAGCTTAGTGGTAGAGTATTTGCTTAGCATGCATGATGCCCTGGATTCTATTCCTCAGTACCACATAAACAGAAAAAGTGAGAAATGGTGCTGTGGCTCAAGTGGTAGAGTGCTAGCCTTGAGCAAAAGTAACTCAAGTTCAGTGCCCAGGCCCTAAGTTCAAGCTTCAGGACTCACAAAAAATAAATTAAATTAAATGTGTTACTGTGATCCACTTAAAAAATGATGTGCATTTATATGTCAGCATATGCATATGACAAAGACACAGAGAAATATTTAACAAACTGATCACGTGTATTATTTTTACAGGCTCAAACACAATTTCCCCTTTGTTTAGGCAAATTGGGCTCTGAACATTCTTCCTCGGATTTTTTTCCTTAATCCGCAGGGAGTTGACTTCAGTGATAATAACAGTCATTGTTTCAGGGAGCTATAAACAACCTAAATCATCATAGGAGATCTGTTCTGAAAATTATAGTTCTATCACCCTAATGAAATACAACACAGCTGTTAAAATTTTAATTGTAGAACAAGTTTTTATTAGCATGGAGAAGACAATATTGTCAAACTTTAAAAGCCACTGTGGAATAACACAATAGAGTTGGATCCTATTTTTTTTCATAAAATATGTGTCAATACCAAAGCAGTTATGAGGGGTATTTATCAAAGAACTAATACTTTTCCCAACAAAATGGGACTACACATGGCTATTTTTCTCCTAATTATAGATATTTCCATATTTTTCTATAATTTCCAGCTAGCCTTGTGATTTTTAACCAGTTGTAAAAATATGAGCTTACACAATAATTCCCTCAGGGTAAGAGTTATGAGAAATAGAAAATCCAGGGTAGACTCAGTCACTAATTTTGAGTTTACATATCTTGTTGCAGAAATAACTCTGGATACATGAGGGAAGTTGGTTCCAGGGTCCCCAGGGACTCCAAAGTCCATGCATGGCCAAGTCCTTTATATAAACTATAATTGTATTGCTCAGCACAGGTGGCTCATGCCTGTGATCCTAGCTACTCAGGAGGCTAAGATCTGAGGACTAGAAATAAAGCTAACCGTGGCAGGAAACTCCATAAGACTCTATCTCCAGAACTGGAGCCATGGTTTGAGTGGTAGACCACTAGCCTTGAGCTAAAAGAAGCACAGGAACAACACCCAGGCCTAGTTCAAGCACCAGACAGGCACAAGGTAAATAACTGTCAGAGTATATCATTTAGGGGATACTGACAAGGAGAAAAACCTCTAAGTGTTTAGTACACATGTGATTTTTCCCAATACTTTCCAGTCTTAGTTGGTGGAGTGAACCCCTGATGAAGAATCCATAGATACAGTGGGCTGACTGTGTATACATTAAATAATTAGGAGGAAAGCGGAACATGCTGAGTGCTGCATTTCCAATGCAACCCTTCAATGGAACAAGAATCTAGAGAGCAGTGTCTAGACTGGCACATTGAGAGGGCTCTGAGGAGAAAAATGCATGAGAGCTGGGCGCTGGTGACTCATTCCTGTAATCCTAGCTACTCAGGAGGCTGAGAGCTGAGGATCACAGTTCAAAGCCAGCCAGGGCAGGAAAGTCCATGACACTCCAATAAAACCACTAGAAAACTGGAAGTGGTGCTGTGGCTCAAGTGGTAGAGTGTTCACCTTGAGCTGAAGAGCTCAGGGACAGCACCCAAGCCAAGTTCAAGCCTGATGACCGACAAAAGAAAAAAAAAAAGCACAAGGACCAGGGAGAAGACAGGCAATCAGAGAGTGCACAGAGACAGAAATGTGACTCAGCCATGAATAGTGAAGGGTGGGCATAAAGGGGAGCAGCAGATTCACATCTAGAAAAGAGAAGATCATGCAAGACAAGTACTGTGCATCCTGATGGTGGCAGCCTTTGGATAATGGGGGATTTGGAGCCAATCTAGAAAAAGGGGGGACAATCAGATTTACTTGGCAGGAATCGGTCATTTAAATGTCAGAGAGGGCCAGGTGCTGGTGGTTCACTCAGGAGACTGAGATCTGAGTATTGAGGATTATGGTTCAAAGCCAGCCCTGGCAGGAAGTCCATGAGACTCTTATCTCCAACAAACTACTCAGAAAAAGCCAGAAGTAGAGCTGTGGCTCAAGTGGTAGAGTGTTAAGCCTTGAGCAAAAGCAGCTCAGGAACAGTACCCAGGCCCTGAGTTCGAGCCCCAGGATGAGCACATACATTTTTTTTAATGTCAAAAAAAAAGAAATAAAAAATGTCAGAGAGGGAGTATGGTAACAATAGAGATGTCACAATTTTTCTATTGAGAATAGTGGGACAGACGTGAAACATGATCCTTGCCTAAGGCAGCAGAGGAAGAAAGTGACAAAGAATTAGGTGGAGGGACACACTGAAGGTAAATCCACAGGACTCAGAAGATGGCATGGTCTAAGACCAAAAGGCTGGAGTATGTTACCTAGTCACTGAAACAAAGGTTTCACAGCCTGGTTGCCTGGCTAATTATTTTAGGCATAGTAAGAACAGCTGGGAGAGCCAGATATTGCAAGTGACAGCTGGACCAGTCATAAGATGCTGAGCCAGGGCCACAAGGGGCAGCCGCCGTGCTCTGGAGTGGCCTCAGGGCTAATTCTACTCATTGGAAAACATATGGACCAAATAGCTCCACCTGTCCCAGAGAACTGCAATTAAGTTTAATGGAAATGTGTCTTCTCCAGCAGAGGTCAATGATTTCTGTAAGCACGTTTCTCCTTCCATCATTAAAGCAATGTCTGAAGTAACATATTTGGGCTTTAAAAATGTGCTATTCTTAAGACACTACTTTTTTTTCCCCCACATGAGCTTATGGTAAAATGTATTTAATGTAAAATAGGAAATTAACTATGTATAAGAGGAAAAAAAAACTTCCAGTTTAAAATTCATTATTTCCTAGTGACCTTACAAAAGCACCCTTACCAAGACTAGGAACATCTCCTTCCTGATACAAAATTTTCAAAGTCTTACAGCCGTCTTTCTCAAAAAAGTGGACAAATGGATCCAGCTATGAAATAAAAGAGAAAATGGGGATCAGTGACTAGGGAATGACAATAAAAGGAACCAACCCCCCAGTGAGGCATCTTCACACATGTTACTTAATCATCCTCCTTTTGTAATGACGAATAACAAGGCAGCTGGAAGACTTTATTGAAGGTACACAGACACAGGCTCTCTGAGACCAGGTTAGAGTCTACAACAATTTAACTCCAACATTTCCATGAAGAGCAAGATTGTTTGTCTTTATGGTTTGTTGTTGTTTTTGTTGTATGTGGGCTTTTGTTTTATTTTGCTGTAGTTCTGTATTTGAAGAGACAAGGTTTCTCAGCTAGGTGGGATGGTGCACAGCTTGAGGAAGAGGACCTTGAGGCTGGAAAATCATGAGTTCAAAACCAGGCTGTTACTACACACAGAAACAGTCTCAAAAAAAAAAAAAAAGGAAGTGGAGGAAAAAAGGCAGAGAGACAGACAGAGAGAAAGAGGGAGAGATCTTCTGTGATGCCCAGGTTGACCTCATTCTCCTGCTCAGCCCCTTGAGTAACTGTGACTATAACGAACCATGAAGCTCAAGTAATGAATTCTATATTCCAGCCTACATTATTGCACCCACTTCCTTTGACCTTGGACCTTGCCTCACAAAATGTCACAGGAATAGAAAGGTGAATGCAACTGGAGATAAATGGAAGGAATCATTATTAAAAGAGACTGTTCTTAAAACCTAACTGGGAGGTCAGAAAACTGGTCTTCCAATTAAGAGTTTTGTTTGATTAGTTAAGCAATGATGCTTTCAGCAATTGTAATTTGACCCACTTTGTAGCCCAACTAATATAAAAACTGATTATTATAATGAGGTTCTTTCATATTTATGAGCATGAAGTTTATATTCAATTACTGAGGAGTCAGTGTAAAATCTTAGTGAGCAGAAAACTTAACAGCTCGGGTAAGCAAAAGTCCCCCCACATCCCAAGTGAACACAAAAGAACCACCCTCTTCTAGCCCAACTGGCTCCAAACAGGAGTCTCTCTTGCGCAGTGAGCTTCTCTCCACTTACTGACCACTTGGGGGAAGTACCCCAGGAGTGCTCATGCCATTTCTCTTAGGACAAGAATCTTTGTATACATTAGACAATCACACAACGGGTTTTTAAAGAGCCAGGAAGTTGGGTCTAAGAATTTGCTTCTGTAACAAGTTCCAGGTGGTACTGCTGCTGCTGGTTCTGGGACCACACTTGAGAAACAACATCCAAGGACATGAAGCAGAACCCAGGATGTGCCTAACTCTGTCCTCTCACTCACTACTCTTCCATCTCCCACATGGATGACTGTCTTATACTTACAACTTGAAGGACACAAGTTTCATTAGCATTTCCTTGCTTTGAAGTGTAAGACTTTGTTGAAGTCTGAGACATGAATATGATAGGATATGAGAGGATAAGATAGGATAGGATAGGAAAAGAAATGAAAGGGAAAGCAAAGCAAAGCTGGGCAAGTGTGGCTCAAGCCAATAATCCTAGCTACTCATGAGGCTGAGATCTGAGGTTCAAGGTCCAAAGCCAGTCCCAAGCAGGAAACTCTGTGAGACTCTTACCTCCAATTAACCATCAAAATGACAGAAGCAGAGCTGTGGCTTAAGTGATAGAGCAATAGCCCCTCTCCCAAAAAGTGGAAACAGTTAAAAGCACCAGTTCTGGCACCAAAAGGGGGAGGGGCATATACAAATCTTAAATGTACAGCTATACACACGTGTACAGGTGCACTCACACACACACACAAAGACAACAGAAATGTCTGGCTGCTAGATTGGTGAAGATGTAACTCAGCTACAGAGCAGTCCCTGGGTTCAATTCCTAGCAATACACACACACACACACTCACATGAATTTCTGGATAGTAGCATAAGCCCATGAAGCCAGCCCTGACCACAGTGCTGGTACGTTTGCTTGCTATGATACCTGAACACATTTCCCACATCTCCACATGATCTCATGCTTGGTCATTAAAATAAAGCTCTTGATGTCTTTGTCCCATGTCAACCACCCTCCCATCTGATGGTTACAATCACACTCTAAAGGAGCAGGAAAAGGGAACAATGTCACTCATACTGCAGGGGTCACCAGAAAGCAATTTTTGCAAAGATTCTAGAAGTGCATGGCAGAACTCGTGCAACCCGAGGCAACACTGCATCCAGCAAAGGAGATGCTCTTTTTTAAAAAAATAATTTTTTATTGAGATTGAGAGTACATAAATTTCACAGTATTGTAGGATAGTGATACTTAAAGTCATACATTTTAACCTTCCTGAGGCAAACTGTCATTATCTTGGTCTATAAAGCCTGTGAATTCTATTTCTATAAGCTTTGTCACTACAACTATTTCTTCCAAGTTGGGTGATATGTTCATTTCTTTCCTGATGCTTAGTGTTAACAGTTCCCTCTTTCCCTCTCATTCCCTCCCTCCCATGACGGAGAAGCTCTTTTAATCCTGGTTCCTCGAACAAAAGACTTCTGCCCAAGTTCACTGTAAAATCAGGGGTATCACTCTCCCAACAGTGACAACAATCTCAACACAACTCCACCTCCCAACTCAAGCAACTAGTGAGAGTTCTGCTGAAAACTGAGACCCAGAACTATCAGGAAGAAAGCTTTAATACACATTTGCCATCTATTACAATAATGAGGGTGACCACATAAATTTGTCATCCCAAACTGACTTGCTTTTAGGGGTGGAAGGAGGCACAGTATGAAAATTGTGCCTGGAAAACAGGCATGACCCAGAACTGTCCCAGCCACACAGACATGTGGTAATGTGACTTGTGATCATTTGTACATAGGAGAGTCACTGAGACTGACCTTAGGTTCCTGCTGTCACGTTTCCCGTACATAGTTATAAAACCTTACTTGTAAACAAATTCTTAAACTCCCTCTGCTTGACAGTCCCTCTGACTTCTCAAATCACCTGCGAGTTAGAATTTTTGCCCAATCTAGTAGCTAACTCTTCTCATTTTCCCTCTACAGGCTTGACCAGAAATGTCACTCAGCTGGCTATAAAGCTGCTTTTCTACTCCATGAGATTCCAGCCTTCTCTTTCTTGCCTGTTTTTCAAAACATGCAGTAAGTTTCTCAGAGAAGAGTTAAAAAAATATGGAAGGGGCTGTGGGGGTTGTAGCTATGTTCAGTCCTAGCACCAAATATTATTACTACTACTAATAATAACAACAATATTAGGACTTCAACTTACAGAAAGGCAATCCAAAATTAATTCTTCAACTGTTGCTATGTCCAGGCCAAGCTTTTCCGCTACAACTTCAAAGATATACTTAAATGCTGACTCAATCTTCATTCTTCGGTTTTCCCTTGCATCTCTAAACCGTGCCTAAAGAATGAAACCATGCATGCAAATCGTGATTATGAAGGACCACGCTGCCAAACAACGTCACTGAAAAATATACGTATTTTTTGCCAGTCTGCTAGTGACTCATTCCTGTCATCCTAGCGACTCAAGAGGCTGAGATTTGAGGATCGCAGTTTGAAGTCAGCCAGGGTAGGAAAGTCCCTGAGACTCATCTCCAATGAACCACCCAAAAGCCGGAAGTGGCGCTGTGGCTCAGGTGGTAGAGCCCCAGCCTCGAGCACAAAAAGTTCAGGGGCTGCGCCGGGGCCCTGGCACCCAACACAAGCCGGCCCCTCGGGGATGCACACCTGCCTCTCCTTCAGGGTCTCCTGAAGGTTAGGGATGCCGCTCATGCTCCGGCGGAACTTGGACGGACGCCGGGAGGCCTGGGACCCCAGCGCGTCGGCGAGCGTGGACTGCACCGGGCGCGGGGCCAGCCGAGGCCGGATTCTAGTCTGAGAGGCCTCGTCCTCCTCATCCTCCGACGGGATGAGAGTCCGGTAATCAGCCACCGAAGATGCCTCTGCAGAAAGCGGGGCGGAGCCCTCCGGCGTGACCCCTTCGGTGACCTCTGCTTCCGAGAAGGCCTCCCCAGTGGTGGAACGGGCCTCGTCTCCGGTAGTGGGCGGGGTCAACTCTCCGGTGGTGGGCAGGGCCTCGTCTCCGGATGTGGGCGGGGCTTCCTCCTCGGTGGTGGGCGTGGCATCGCTTGCCGGAGGGGGCGGGGCTGCCGCTTCCTCCGAGGGCGGAGCGTTTTCTCCAGAAGCATCGTCAGGGTTCATGCCTTCAGCCCTTTAGTCCTGCCGACTATCGCAAAGGTCAAAACCTGGGATTACAAAATGTTTTCTTCTATATTATGCAATATATTGAATATATTGACCATGAGGAGTTTTAGTCCTCTTCTCAAAACTAAGCAGGTAACAAAAGTCATCCTTTTTTTCTTTACAGGCCTAGAGAGGAGATTGGCTTGTTTCTTTAAGAAAGAGAGAGGAGAGAGAGAGAGAGAGAAAGAAAGAAAGAAAGAAAGAAAGAAAGAAAGAAAGAAAGAAAGAAAGAAAGAAAGAAAGAAAGAAAGAAAAGGAAGAAAGAGAAAGTGTACTGGAGGTTACAAAAGGGGGAGGCTCTTCATTTGCTGACCTTGGTCTACATGAATTATGAGCACCGACAAGATTGTCCGAATAAAAAACACAAAGCCCTGGATCCAACTACACTTAAGAGGTAGTTTGGGGAGAGGAAGCAGAGAATTAGCAAGAAAAAGGAAAGAGAAACTGGTGACTTGGAGAGGCCTAGCCCAGGAGGCTTAAGTTTCTAATCCTAGCTATTCAGGATGCTGAGACTCCTTTCTCCAATTAACCAGCAGACAAAAAAAAAAAAAGCTGGAAGTAGAGGCTTGGTTCAAGTGGTAGAGGGCCAGTCTTGAGTAAAAAAGCCAAACAATAGTCCAAAGCCCTGAGGTCAAGCCATGAATACAACAGAAGAAAGAAAAATGTAGCTGGAAAAGTAGTATAGAACTATTTCATATTGTATTCATTCTTCTAAAGACTCCAAATAAGTATTCGGAGTCACTTAAAATATATCAATAATAAGTGTAGTTTATATACAAGTAGCAACTCTTAAGTTAACTGGGTACAAGTTCAATTCTACTTTTTCAGCTTGAGTTCCAAGGTGATTTTTTTTTTCAATGTCTCAGTGAAGAACTGGTCAGGTTTATCACTGGTCAAGTTCAATGCTGAGAGTGAGTTCATTGTGAGCTGCTCTGCTCATTTAGCAGTCTAGTCAACAAAATCTAAAGCCTCCATGCAGGTAAACATGCTTACATGGAACATACAACATGTTTTCCATTCTGTATATCTTCTTACCTCACATTCTCAATTTAAAGGTGGGGAAAAAAAGCATCTTAATTTCTGAAACTTTAGGAAAGTATGCCTCACAGAGTATTCTATGTAAAGAGTTCCATGTGGGTTCTAGTAATTGAATGCTTAATTTTATGTATTTCAGGCTGAGAATAGGATCAGCCCCTATTCGATCAATCTGAAGAATCTGTGGACATTGACAACTAATAAGCAGATGCTAATCACTACTGTGATGAAGAAAACAAAAAAAAAGTAGGGATAATTCTTATAGTTTAAATTTACAATAAAATTACGTATCTAGGACTCTCAATTACTGCCATTTGGTGCCTGGGCTGAGCTTCCAATACCTGGTACCTGCTAGCTAGCTAAGCGCTCTTGCCACTGAGTTATATCCCTAGCCTCTTACTTTTGATTTTTTTTTTTTTAAGGAGTAAGGTGTGGGGTCCAAGGAAAAGCCTGGGATTGAGGAGGAGGGCAGTGACTTCCTTGGGTTTTGCCATCCTGGAACTGGGTCACTGGTTAAGACAAAGAGGCGGGGGAGGGGGGGAACGGGGTGGGGGGGGGGCGAATTTCCTCTTCCAGATGGGATGGGATGCTACAGGAGGAGGGCTCTGGGCTGGCTGAAGCTGACCTCGGACCGGACCGATCACTCACTCACCCCACCACCACAGCCGTTGAAAGTCTGAAACGGGTTCTCTTCTCTGGGGTTACCTCGCGGCTCCGCGGGACGCCGCACTCAGAGGGCAGTGCGGGTGGGATGGGGCTCGGGCCCAGGCGCGTGGGTCATCTGCCCAGCCAGGGGATGGGGTGGGGGGACAGGTCTGGGCACGGAGGGCGTCCATCTACACATGGAAATTGCAAGGCGTGGGGTTCCTGCTTGTGACACATGGATGTGCTCTCTAACGCATATGACATGATGTCCCCCCAAACCTTGAGAATTCATTCTCCAAGTTTGAAGGCCTTGGGGGGGGTTGCAAGATATGCTCTGAGGGTATTGGTATAGAGCTGTGTCAATACAGGATAGTGTTTCCTATGACCTTTCTGTTTTCCGAAGTGAGTGTTGCATTTGAGTTCTCTGTAGTCTCTGTGCTCAGAAACTTATGACTAGTGAGACAGACAGAAATGGGTGAAGAAAAGGGGCTCCTCAAGATCTACCTCCTCTCCTTTCCGGTTTATTGATGCTTTTCCTATAACTAATTCCTGACTTGACATCACTTCCCAGGAGAAAGGAACCCCCTTGTTCATTGCTCATTACAAAAGAACACTGACCACTTCGCCCTGGATTCCTTAACCTTCTCACAATCAATACCTGTCTCTGACCAATGATTCTGTCCACTGGAGGTTGGAAGCAAGGAAACCTGTCTTGCATGCCATATTCTTGCCATTTGTTGGGCTATGAGCAATAAATGTCACACTTCTATTCACTGGGTCTCCTTGTCCACTTTTGGCATTTATAAATCTGTGGAGAACTGATCCCTTGCCATCTTACCTAGGCAGAGGTACCTCTGTATATTCTGATATAGTAAGAAACAAATTCCAGAATATCATAACCCTTGAAGTGTCTTAAATATACTCATATGCATCAGCTGACAAATTCTTCTTTTGAAAATATATTCTAAAGAAATAATGCTAAACAGAAACAGAGCTTTTGGTTCTAAAGGCATGTGTTGCCATATTTAATTTTTTTTTTTGCCAGTCATGGTGCCTGAACTCTGGGCCTGGGCACTGTCCCTCAGCTCTTCAGCTCAAGGCTAGTGCTCTACCACTTGAGCCAC